GGGGAAGCTGTTGACAATGTCTCTGTATGAGTTTTCTCGCCGTGTTGGCTCCCAAAGAAAAGCTTCTATCCATGGTAATCAGGGTTTATTAAAGGAAGCCATGAAAAAAAGTCTTTAGATGAGATTAAAAGGATTGTGTAGCTGCACTTGGTGCTGAATTGCTCTGTGCTGGCTCCAGCTCTGGGCGTCTGCCTCGTCAGCATCCCGGGAAATGAATGGCTGTGCCTGAGTGCAGCAAAAGTAAACAGAGGAGCGTGCTGCCTGATTAGTGCTGGGCCTCATTAACCGCCCAGCCTGTGCCACTGGAATTGTCCCTGAGTCCTGGCTGCTCTTGGCTTCCTCCAGCCAGGTGCTGCCTGGTGGAGAACTCCCTGAGTCCATCCCACCAGCCGTGGGACTCCGGGGTTGTGCCAGACCCACTGTACAGAACGACATGGTGGGTTTCCTTCCCCTCCCAGTGCTGTTTTTCAGCACTTTTTTTTTTGTGTTCTAGGTTTTGATATGTGTTTCTGCTCTAGAGCCCCTGGCTGGAGGTGGACCTGGGGTGGGATTTCTTCCATGGCTTTTTGTATCCAGGCTCTCCCGTGTGACTCCTCGTGCCGCTGACATTGCAGTGTCCCTGCTGCCAATGTGTGACCGTGGCAGGGGACATGATGATGTGACTCTGTCTGCCAGCTTTGGTGGCAGGAGGGTTGTGTGTGTGTGTGAGTGAAATGGGGAGATGCTGTTGTCTCCCATGTTCTCTCAGTGACACGTTCCTTTCAGGACTTGTCATTGGAGTGGGATGGATTTGTTCCAGCCTCTAGTACAGGGACATGACCATGGCTTTTGTGAGATTGTCAGTCAAAAACTGAATGTCCCATTTCCCTCTTTCCCTGTACACTTCTCCCAAGACTTTCCCTTCCTCTCAGCTGACAGATCAGACCTTTGTGTCCTCTTTACTCCTGATTTATTCTTACCTCCTTATCCATAGCTCTTCCTTCTTGACTTTGTCCCCTTGAAACCTGCTGCATTTTGAGGATATATTTCTCATTCCCTAACTTTCCCATCTAATAACCAGAGTTAAAAGAAGTTAGGAAAGTTTAATCCTCTTAGGCTTTTTCACATCCAAACTTTCCTTGTCCAGGTGCTCCACCTATTTACCACGGAGTTGCATGTTTTGGAGTCTTGGAATTGTGTCCTGGAGAGCCCTGAGCAGAATCCTCTAACTCAGTGGTCTCTACCCTTTGCTAGGAATGGCCAATAACACTAAAAAGGTAACCACACTGTGGGGCAGCACCATAACTTTCTGTCCTTCAGGAGGAAAACAGTTCTTAATCCAAACTCTGGGAATTCAAGGCATCCTATGGGGAATGTGTTATTTGCAAGCCATGAAGTTGAACCTCCAGTTCCACAGGCATGAGAGCGGTGTGAGACCTTCTGTGGGAGCTGCCTCTGAGATCTTCCTCTGACCATGGATGGAACACTGTTGAAAGAGCTGGATTTGCTCTGTGACCTTCCCAGGGACCTTGAATGTGCTGGTGAAGAGGCTGTTGTAGCAGACAGCAGAAGGGTGATCTGATCTCACACAGGAACCCTACATGGTGGGTCATGGCATCGCTGGTGGAAAAGGCCAGTGAGCCTGGTCATTGTGGGAAGGCAGTCTGGGTTTATTTTGGAAATACCCAGCTCAGAACCTAAGCCCAGACCCCACTGCCTGCTGGCTGAGGCCTTTGGTTTATATGCTTTGTTTTTAGAATAGAATTACTCTCTTGTAATTTGAGTAGCCTAAGAGGCTGGGTATGTCTGTGCCACTGGACTACTTGTCTTCCCAGCTGCTGTGTTTTCTGCTATCCAGACATGGGTAATTCTCCTTAGTGCATCCTCTCAGGGGTAGTACAAAACCTGCTCTATTCTGCAAGTTAAACATCCAGGCCTCCTTACCCCTGACCTCTGCTGTTATTTATTAATTGAGCCAAATTATAAATTATAGCCCTCAGAGGCTCAAGGGCTGACTGGTGCTCCAGGACAGAGGGTGCAGGGCAAACAGCACGAGCAGATGGGAGAGGAATGTACAGAGGGAAAATCCTGCTCCTGGAGCCACTCAGATGGCTGATGGAAAATGGAAAGACAGCCCAAAGGTTCTGCTCTCCCTGCTTTGTCCCAGAAGGCTCCTGTGTGTGCTTGGTGGCTATTGGTGCTCTCACACTGTTGATCTCCTTTTCTCTCCAGGTGAGCATCTTCCTCCATGAGTTTCAGTGTTTTTGAAGTGCCCTTGTCTGCTACTAAAGGGACTCCTCATCCAGCCTTCCTGGAGTTTCTCACTGGGGTGTCTCTAGTTTCCAGGTCGAATTTGCTCTCTTTCCCCAGAGGAATCACAGAATGGTTTGGGTTGGGAGGGACCAAGAAGGTTTTCCTTGCCATTCCCTTCCTCTAGGAGTGATAGTCTCACCTCAAAACGATTCTCACCTACTTGGGCCTTGAAGACTTCATGTCTGGAGTGTGTCTCTTCTGATTTTGTGTTGGCTCTTTGTTTTAATGGGCAGATTTCCTCCTGTTGTTGCAGGTGCTGTTGTCCTGGTGCTGTGATGACCTTTGGGCAGAAGGCTCCTCTTGGAGAGAGGGGCTGTTCCTTACCTCTTCAGTCTCTGGGTTGTGACAGTTTCCATTGCCCTGCCCTGCAGCTGTGCTGACTCTGCAGAGCAAAATATGGCAAAACATAGCAAAATGTTGGGGTAAAAAAAATTATGGTTTTAGTACTTGAAAAGAAGAGCAAAATACAGCAAAATGTTGGGGTAAAAAAAATTATCTTTTTAGTACTTGAAAAGAATAATTTCGTCCTATATCTGTCTAGTTCCTGATCATGCCAGTGTGTTAGAAACATGGGTCATAACTCATAAGTGACAGGGGCTGGTGTTCAGGGTCGCCACATGATGTTTCTGAACACAGGACTCAAACAGGGACAGCTTCCCTCTTCTGCTGCTCTCCCAAGGAGGGGCTCTTTTGAAAGAGGAGTGGTTGTGTGGAGGGGGAGCTCTTTCCACCCCTGCTCCATCTATCATATTAAAGGTTATTAAAAGCCTACGTGACCAGCCTGCCTGTCCCTGCAGAGCCTGCAAGGCAGTCTTGCAAACTCTGCAGTATAAGCTTGATTTTATTAAATATTTGCTTGACCAGAAAGGCAGAGCAGAACAGGGTAAACATGCCTAAAGTAAATGTGGGATGACCTTTGTCCATCATCCATCCAATGCCTGCGGCTGCTGTGGCTGGGAGGGCAGTGGGAGGTGAAGGTGATCATGCGACAGCTTTGAAATTCTGGCTGCTGTGAGAATTTTGAAATATTCGGGGTGGCATAAAAGTGGTGGCTGCTCTACGAACCCAGACTTACCCTTTCCACTATCATATCTAATCAGCCTACAGGTCAAAAGAATGGGGGATTTATTCTCTCTTGTTATTTCTTGAAGGAAATTTTTCAGTCCCGCTGGCGTTAGCAGAGCTGCATAGATTTGAAAAAGCTGCAAATCCAGACCTGTGTCACATCTTCCTCCCTGCTGGGATCTGCAAACAGTGATTTTTTTCCTTACCTCCTGCTTGTGCCAGCCTGGCTGTCATCACTCCTGGTTTCAGCAAAGTTATTCTGTGACAGAGGTGATGGGACGCTGGCCTGCAGGAGCAGGGCTGGGGTTTGCCTTGTGCTCTTTTTGAGATCAAGGACAGCTTTGTGAAATTCTGATGTGGATGTTAAAGTGGGATGGAGGGAGGAGAAATTTGTGTCCTCAGCCTGGCCACCAGTGGTCAGCACTCACTGAGGAGCTTGGCTTGTGACATCTGAGGTGGTAGGACTCCATCTCCCACGTGTTCTGTGGGGCCATTAAAAGCCAAAGCTGTTCTTGGTGCAGAAGCAACTAAAAAAGTGAAGGGAAAGGGAGCAGATGGATGTGTTGAGCAGGAAGATGTGTTTCCATGGGGTGTGGTGATGTGCTCAACAAATTACAGAGGCTGTTTGAACCCCATACTGCTCTCACACCCTGGTTAAAACCTGGGAAATTTTAAGAGACTGAGTGGTGCAAGGAATCAATCATGCTGCTCTTTGGAAAATCACCAGGCTGGTCCTTGGGTCATTAGTTTTCTTACTTCATGGCCCTTTAGACTTTATTACCGCTAATAGGTAGGCAACCCCTTTCTCCTCAGTCACCTGAGATTCCCAGGGGAGCTGTATCTCTCTTCGGGATGATGTTTTCTTGGCTGTGAAGTGAGTGGAGAGTGGTCTCGTGGTGAGAACCCAGGGGAGGGAGGAGACCCAGAGCTCAGCCTGCTCTGTGCTTGGCCACCTGCCCTTCGTAGATGTGGCTGTGACAGCTGGCACAGCACAGCTCCTGTGTCTGTACTCCAGGCTGGACCAGCACGAGGTAGCTTTGATCCGGAAGCCCCAGAGATCCTGTTCAAACAGGACCATTCCGGACTGAGGTCTCCCTGGAAGGATGTTAATGTCAGACCAGGGCTGACTTCTTCCTGGCAAACTCCAAGGGCTGCAGAAGAGCTCAGCATCCATCTGGACCTGTCCCTGCAGGCAGGGCCCTGACCTTCTCTAGGCTTCAGTCCTTCATCCAGAAGAGCAGGATAATAATCCTTCTCCAGCTCTGGTGTCTCAGACAGCAAATACACAGTTGGGTTGACATTGGCAGTGCAAACAGCAACGCTGGTTGATGTTCCCACCATGAGCCTTCTGCACCTCTCTGGCTTCCAGGGAATATTTGTGCTGCACCGTGGGGCACGTGTGTGAGTGATGGAGAGGAAAAGGGTGCTGATTTATGACTTTGCTGTGTGATTTCTGCTCTTTCTACCAGCATCTTTTCTTTCAGGAGGGCTCCCTTTGTGTTGGTTTTAAGTAGAGAGCTCAGAAAGGGAGGATTAGCAATTAAATAAGCTCTGATGATGGCATGGTCGTGAAGGGGGGAGGAGGAAGGAATACTCCATAGTAATGTACTTCTGTTTTCTTTTTGCTTTGCTTGTAGGACAAAATCTGCCAGGGAATTGGTGTTTTGAAGAATTTTACTGCTTTTAATCCTGTTCCCTTGGGAATACAAACCTCTCTAATCATGTCACCGGCCATGTGGAAGTGGACTTGCCTGGTTTCTCACCTCCTGCTGTCCACCACAGTGTCACCTCTTGCCAGACAGCAGCCACCCCATCCAAAGAGGCCCTTCATCACTTTTACAGGAGAACAAGCAGAGGGAAACTTCAACCACTTGGTGGTGGACGAAAGAACTGGGCACATTTACTTGGGGGCCGTCAACAGGATCTACAAACTCTCCAGTGACCTCAAGGTCCTGGTGACCCACGAGACTGGTCCTGATGACGACAATCCCAAGTGTTATCCGCCCAGGATAGTCCAAACCTGCAACGAACCCTTGACACCCACCAACAACATAAACAAAATGCTCCTCATAGACTACAAGGAGAATCGGTTGATAGCCTGTGGGAGTCTGTACCAGGGCATCTGCAAGCTGCTGAGGCTGGATGACCTCTTCAAGCTCGGGGAGCCCTTCCACAAGAAGGAGCATTACCTCTCTGGGGTGAATGAGAGTGGCTCTGTTTTTGGAGTCATTGTTTCTTACAGCAACATGGATGACAAGCTGTTCATCGCCACCGCCGTGGACGGGAAACCGGAGTATTTCCCCACTATTTCCAGCAGGAAGCTCACCAAGAACTCCGAGGCGGATGGGATGTTTGCATATGTCTTTCATGATGAGTTTGTGGCCTCTATGATCAAGATCCCCTCAGACACCTTTACCATCATCCCTGACTTCGATATCTACTACATTTATGGCTTCAGCAGTGGGAACTTTGTCTACTTCCTGACTCTGCAGCCTGAGATGATCTCTCCACCTGGCTCCACCACGAAGGAGCAGGTTTATACCTCCAAGCTGGTCCGGCTTTGTAAGGAGGACACAGCCTTTAACTCCTATGTGGAGGTGCCCATTGGCTGTGAGAAGAACGGGGTGGAATACAGATTGCTCCAGGCAGCCTACTTGTCTAAGGCTGGAGCCATCTTAGCCAGGTCTTTGGAGGTTGGCCCTGAGGATGATATCCTCTTCACAGTCTTCTCCAAGGGGCAGAAAAGGAAGATGAAGTCCTTGGATGAGTCTGCTCTTTGCATCTTTGTCCTGAAAAAGATCAACGACCGCATCAAGGACAGACTGCAGTCCTGCTACAGGGGAGAGGGGACGTTAGATTTGGCCTGGCTCAAAGTCAAGGACATTCCCTGTAGCAGTGCGGTAAGTGAAGCCCCTGAGCACCCAAACTTTACCTCCTTGTGTGCTCACAGGTCTTGTCTTCAGGTAACCATGTTTCTCAACCATTAAAACAGGGACCAAGGAACTGGGACTGCCTTGTCCCAGTCCTGGCTCTGCCTCCAGCTCACCACACCACCTAATTTAACCAGTTCATACCTCAGTTTGCCTATGGACAAGCTAATGAAGGTATCAACAAACATACTGTGTTTGCTGATGAGCTAAACCAAGGGGCCTTGAAAACTTCAGGAGGAATTTGCCTGTTGGAATTACTTCACTGTGCAAATCATAGGGGTGAAATAATTTTGACCTAAAGCACGGTTTTGGCTCAAACCTAAACCAAAACAGGACCTAGAGAGTGTCAACGGCTTCTGCCGGTTTCTGTGTGCACTGGTGTAGTTTTACTTCCCTGGGCTGGAGTTGAAGCAGGATTTATTCAGGGAGCTTTGTGAAGCCAGGGCTTCATTTCTCCTAGGGCTGAGGAGCACTGGTCATTAACCATCAAAGCCCCTCTCCTTCCGGTCTCCAGCCAGCTCCGCGTCGCCTTTGCTCCGAAAAATTAAGGCCTGGCTGCAGATCAAGGATTAAATACTGCAAGATTTAAGGGCAGGACTGGGGAAGAGGCTGGTCGAGCTGACCTACAAATGGTCTGAGGAAATTGTCTTGGTTTATTCTGTGGGTTCACTCGAGTGTTGTGGCAGGAATGTGCCTCAGCCCCTCCAGCCCGGGGCTGGCTTTGATAGCAGGCACGGGCATGGGCGTTAGGGCCGGCTCTGGGCCGGGCTGGAAGAGCTGCCTCTCCAGGCTTTGATTCCCAGTCTTAATTAGCTCTTTCAAGTGAGAGGCAAGTTCAAGTCTGAGAAAAGGGAATATGAGGAATGCCAGAGCGCTTTCCTGCCCCGTAATCTCAAGGCAGGCAGGGCTCGGGATGTGGGGTTGCTCCAGCTCTCCTTTGTGCTCAAGCTTCCTTTGCTGGGGGATTCCTGATGCTGTTCCTTGGCAGGATGAGGACGGATCAAGAGGAATGCAGGTGGGAATTTCATTGCAGGGAGACTGATCCTGCCTTACTCTGCCTTAATTCCCCTTTACACCAGTGCCCTCAGAGTCCTTGCTTGACCTTGCACTTCATTCTCCCACACTGAATCTGTGGAGGGACAAGTCCTTCATTTTAGTTGGGATCTCCTGCCTGGACCCATAAAGCTCCCAATGGAGTGTTGCACAGGAAGAAAGGCTGTGCCCAAATCTGGCTTTGATTTTTTTTGTTTAGCTGCAAGGCCTCTGCACATTCAAAGAGCTGCCTTTAGATTTAAGCTGGGAGCTTCCCACTGGAGTTTCTTTCCTGGGCTGCTAAGCCTCTCCATGCATTTGCATATCTGCTCTGCTTGTGCTCCATACTAACGTTTGCAGTATTGGACCTCTCAAATTAGGAGGTTTGAAACCTCTCAGTCCTGGCTTCTATGGCTTTAGACAGGAGCAAAAAGGCCACCAGCATTCTTGTGTCCCTTGGGGTGAGTCCCAAACCAAGAAGACTGATGTCTCAGACTGAACTTGGAGGGACCAGACTGCAGAAGTAGGAGAGAGGACAAGGAGCCAAGGGCTGGGTGACACAGTGGGGAAAAAAAATATTAGAGCATATTTGGGAGAGTATTTCTTCCCTGTGAATCAGAGATGCTAATGCTAAGCTGGAAAAGAACCTGGAGATCCTTGAATTAAAAGAAGGGAGTCTGAAGAGTGTAACTAAGTAGGCTGTCCTCTCCTTAAATGAGCCTACTTAGAGCTGCTGGCAAGCCCTGCCTGAGATCAGCTGTGCTGCCCCAGGGAAGAGGTATTAGTGACTTGGCTGCTGCAAGGGGTTGCAGAGTCCAGCAGCTAAGCTTGGAAAATATTTGATGGTTGGTGAAGTATTTTGGAGCCTGGATATGTGTCTGTGAGGGCCCTGTTTCCTTCGCTGATGTCCTCTTGCCAGCCAGCCCCCAGCGCTGCTGCTCTGCCTCTCAGCACATGTGTTTGGAGCAGCTCTAAAACCAATTACAGAGCCATCAGTGAGACTTTTCCCTGGTTTTGTGTGGATGTCAAATGTTTCCCTGCTGGTGCAAACAGAGGCTTAACCTTCCTGAGATCCAGGCTGGAGCTGAACTTCAGCTTTGCTGCCCTACCTTCAGCAGCTGAAATCCTGCATGTGAACGGGTACAGCTGATGTGCCTGCCACTGAGCATTTTAAATTAAGAGAGGAGAGATTTGGATTAGATTTTAGGAAGAAATTCTTTACACAGAGGCTAGTGAGGCCCTGGCACAGGTTGCCCAGAGAGGCAATGGCTGCTCCATCCCTGGAAGTTCAAGGTTGGACAGGGCTTGGAGCAACTTGGGATAGGGGAAAGTGTCCCTGCCCATGGCAAGAGGTGGTATGAGATGAGCTTTAAGGTCCCTTCCAACTCAAACCATTCTATTATTTTGTGATTCTTTATGGTATTAACTGCAGGGTTATGGAGCTGGATTCACTGCATTATCCTCACCTCTTGGTGCCTGGTCAGGTCTGTTTTTTAGTGACAAACCTTCTTCCAATTTTTCTAATATTTCTGATAGAGCAATAACTGACTCAAAGGGGATCCACATTTTATGATTCTTCTGCTCCTGCCTTGAGGTAATGCTTGCTCAGGGCCACTTCAGAGCAAGAGAAATCTCTTGGAGACCATTCCCAGCACAGCTCTCCTAACCTGCAATATGCACACAGATAATTACAGGGATGTGGGAGAACAGTGCTCCTGGCCCTGCTGGTAGTAGAGTCTGTACCTTCTCTGGTCAGGCAGTTTGGTTGCAGCTGGATCTGGAAGATTTGAGGTCGGGCAGGACCTTGGTAAGCTGAGCTGGACAAACTGTGTCTCATGGTCAACATGCAGCGGGAGGCTTTGGGTCCCCAGATGCCCTGCAAGGCTGGATGTCCTGGAAACTTGCCCTGGCCTGGTTTGCAAACACAATATGAGGGCAAAGACTGAGACACAACTGTGTAATGAGCCTGTTATTCCCCTGTGCCAAGTTCCTGTGCGTGTTGCAGATGTTGGTAGTGTGATAGAAGCATTTGCAGAATGGGAAAAGTAAATATCCAGAGATGAATGGAGAATCCTCAATGTTCATCCCTCTCCTATCCCTGTGTTACAGCTGTCCTCCCTGTAATCTTCAGCACAGATCGGGAAAAAATGATAGATTTTTATGTCTGGGCAGTTGATTTGCAAATTGGTGATGTTCACTCAGGTGATAAATGGTTTCAGGTAATATCTCTCTGCAAATGCAGGATAATAGCTAATATTTAAAGAGTACACTTGACCCCAAACGCTTAAAAATTCATATAATCAGAGAAAAATGAGGCTGGGAAAAAAAGGATTCTTATGAGGTCATCTGATTTGCCCTTCTGCCCTACTTAAAACATTCCTGACAGATGTTTGTCTCACCTGTTCTTAACCTCTGACGACAGAGGTTCCTCTCTCTCTCCCTGTGCTGTGAGGAAGCTTTCCCTCATGTCAAATCCAAATCTCCTCTCTGGATACTGAAGCCATTCCTGCTTATACAGTCAGAGGGCACCTTCAAAGCCTTGGACACATGAGGCTCTTGTTATACAGTCATGGAAAAGTAACCACTGCAGTGTGGTTGGTGCATGAAAATGTGTGGAGCAGTGGGGACATGAAGGGTGTTGGAAGAAGGAAGGGCTGTTCTCAAGGGGAAAAAATGGGCTTCTCAAAGCAGGAAACAAACTTCATGTTGGCTTGAGAAGGCTGTGGTTTAAATAGGCTTCATGGACTTTGTAATTGAGCAACCTGCTCTGGTGGAAGGTGCCCCTGCCCATGGTGGGGGGGTTGGAATGAGATGATCTTTAAGGTCCCTTCCAACCTAAACCATTCTGTGATTCTATGATTTCATGGTTCCATGATACAGTTGGAATGTACTGGATTTCCTAAAAATAAATAATAAAAAACCACAATATCAGAGGAGGATGGAGATATAAATGTGTCCTTTTTGTACAGAAATTGATCATTGGGGGATTTGTTGATTATCATTACTATGAAATAGGACTAATAGGTTCATTTTGAAGCCCAGTGAGAATTCCATTACTGAGATGCTCAGCAGTGGAGGCAGGGGAGGTTTCCCCTCTGCCATGGGGAGCAATCAGGTGGATGGCTGTGTGGGACATACAAACATGGATGGAGAAGAGGAGGGTGCTGGAGACTGAACCCAAAGCAGCACAAAGGTGTCAAGGGAGATGGAGAGGAGAGTGAATCCTTGCTGGACCTTTGTCTCTCAGCGAAACCCCAAACACAATGTGCTGTTGGCACGTGCTCCTGGCTGTCAGCTCGGGAGCTGGTTGCATCCCAGGGCTGCTCTCCTGGGAGATCCTGGTCTCCTCATCAGCCTGATGTGTCTTGCAGCATCACCTGCTGCTCTGCAGCCTAACAGACTCCAGTCCCTGAGATGAAAAGGTGTCACCTCCATCGCTGCAGCTTTCACCGGATACGCAGCACAAATATCTGCCTGATAATCAAAGTGTCTGTCCCCAACTATCTCCTGCCTTCTTGCCGGTATTTTCTTTTCCTTTTGGCAGGAAATGGAGTTCGACTGTTTAAATTACTGTATTCAATCTCTTCCTGTTTTTCATGGCAGCGCTGTCACTTGGGGGAGAAATGAAATGTTTTCAGAGCCGACCGGCCAACAAAAGGCCTTGTGTAAAGAGCTGGGCAATATTTTCCCAATGCTTTGCTAACAGAAGAAGATGTCTGGGACCCATGTCACTGTCTGGCAAGTGACTTGGCTGTAAAGGCTTCCCATGCTTCTGGTGCCTGAGTGTGTAATTCCCCAAAACCTCTTTTGAAGATGATCCCTGAGAGTCCTGCATCTCCTCCATACATCTCTTCCTCAAGTGGGCTCTGCTCTCCTGCTCCCTCCTGCTTTCTCTGCCTCCCCCTGCCCATCCTAGATGCTCACCAAGCAAGCACTAC